CCTTTCTAAAACCCGCTCGCACATCCCAAATTTTTCCATCAGTTTCTTTCATAACTCTTTCAATTAACACTTTAGCATACAGTTTACCCACAATACTAAGCAAGCTGATACCACGGTAGTTTTTGCAGTCCTGCTGTGACCCTTTTCCTTTATATATTGGTACTATAACTGCTTTACACCAGTCATCCGGTACCCGTTTTAATTCCCAACATAAATTAAACAAGGTGTGCAGCAGTCCTGCCACCACTCCCTCTCCAGCCCTTAGCATCTCGAGTGATACTCTACCATATCCAGCTGCCTTACCTGCTTTCATGCTTTTCATTGCTTTCATTATTTCATCTACACTTATCTCCATACCCCTTTCCACTTCTTTCGGAATTTCTAGTTCATTTAATTCAGACGACTCTTCACTCATAAACACGTTTTCAAAGTATTCCTTCCATCTGTTTAAATTCGAAACTTCATCATTCAGAATACATCCATTCTCGTCTCTTATAGCATTAATTATAGGCTGTTTTGTATTTCCCCTAGCAGTTCTTACGAGTTTCCAGAACATTTTTATATTAGCCTGGAAATTATCAGATATCCCTCTATTATTCTTATCCGTATCTTTCTTTCTTTTTCCTTTCAACTACTTCTTTTACTCTCTTATTTAGACGTCTAAATTCTGCCTTCTTTCTTTCAATCTCATCATTCATACCAGAAGAATTACCAGCTTTGGTTGCTAGTAAATCTAACCATGCTTTCTTCTTTGATTCAACTTCCACCCGTACCTCATCATCCCACCACAACGTATTACTTTTCCTTTCATTTGTTCTCCTACTTACACCACATACTTCGGTGGCGGCATCCACCAAACCTTTCTTAATATTATCCCACACAGTATTTAAGTCTAAATCATTCATACACCACTCACTCAAACATCTAATATTTTCTCTCAGTCTACATTTATACTTCTCTTTCACATCTTCATCTTGTAACTTCTCTATTCTTATACGATGTAACGCAGTGGTAGACACAGATGTCCGATGCCACCAACGCTTGAAAAGACCATTAATTCGACATAAGACCAAGTAATGATCCGTCCCTACGTTGGACCCCCGGTAAACCCTTGTATCTACGACTGCGCTCCTCATTCTTTCATCCACAATTACGAAATCTATCATGCTTCTATCATCACATCTTTCCCATGTATACATGTGAATATTCTTATGACGAAAAAAGTGTTCGTCACAAAAAGAATGACATACGGTGAGGAGGTCTTCACCATTCTCATTTATACCTTCATCACCAAACGTTCCCAATATCCTTTCATAACCAGACCTCTTCACCCCAACCCTTCCATTAAAGTCTCCTAACATAATAATATTTTCATTTTCCTTTACATTTTGTCAACACCATCCTTACCATGTCCCAAAACTGCTCTCGGATGTAAGTGGGCTTAGACATGTCTGGGGCGTACACCCCTAGCAGGAACAGCTTCTTTAAGCTCACTTTCATTCGTATCCACAGCAGCCTCGGGCTTACACATTCATACTCTTTTACACATTGACCCATTTTTTTTGAAAGGATGAAACCGACTCCCTGGCATGCCCGTTCGGTCTCGTCTACACCAGACCAATACGCGGTATACGTGCCATGTGCAGTGGTAGCCTTTCCCTTTCGTTTCGTCTCATTCACACATAACACATCTATTCCTCTGTCATTCATCATTTCGCATACTTCATCCATCTTATCATTCATTCCTCCACATACATTCAGCGTAGCCAGATGGGTTTCCGCAATCCACTTTTCGCCCCTCCGGGAGACAGAACGTGACGGGTGGCGAACCTCGTCGCCGGTTTTTCTCCCGGAGATTCTTCGCACCCCTGCCCCATTAAAGGGGCCATTTCTTTTATTTCCTGACTCATGGTGCGAACAAGGGGTGGTGGTAGATTTTACGCCGCTACCATACGGCGAGGAGCCGAGTCTATTTTTTCGGCTTTGTCGCTCGTTTAGCACCACCCGGGGAACACGTGTAGGTTGGGCCTAATGTTAGGTGGTCGAAGCCTACGGACGCGAGCGACTCATACCCCCTACGGACGCGAGCGACTCATACCCCTAATACGGATAAGAATTCTGTCATTAACACACTTGAAATATATTCAAGTGTGTTAATGACAGAATTCGAATTAATTATGCATACGAAATGCTAGGGCTTTTTAACACATAAACTTTTGAAAACGCAGACAAAGTGCGTCATACACGATGAAAATAAGTTGCGAACGCGTTCAAAGGTTCACACAGAATTTGAAAATACCTTTTTTTTTAAACATGGGGAAATGCCTACGCATACCCGCCTCGCGGGGGCAAGGTCGGGTTATGTCGGACTCGCACCGACTAAAACCCCATGGTGTTCCACCTTCGTCGCATATTGGCAGGGCTACGGGAACGCTTTCGCACACTTCCGCGGCCCCACCAGCGACTGCCGCCCCATGGCAGCACCTCATCGGGAGAGAAATATTCCTCCCCGTTCTCCTTCCCAAGTAAGGCGCACCAGAACACATGGCACGCCTTCCTCCACGGCCTCCAATTACATCTGCGCAACAGACGCCCCCGCGTCCGATGCGCGAAGGCCATGGGGCCAGGAAAAACGAGCACTTAGAAGTACTAGCCTTCCCGACCCCAGCGGTGGATCTGATCTATGATGAGGATAGGGAGAGTGGCGCCTCGCAATACCGACAATCCTCTCCCCCCGCAGCCCCATCACCACCGCATCAACGGTGCGGCCCCGTTTGAGTCGCGGAGGATAGGGCGAGTGGCGCATCGCCATACCAACACTCCGCGACTCCACCTCGGCTGCAGCGGTAGGTGGGGAGGACTCACCTCTCACCGCAGTCCACCAACACACATCCGAAGTGGGCTTCCCAAGCCCACTCGGAGTGGCCACCTCGGGCCGGCCCTCCACCTCGGACCAGCCATATGGGTTCCTCTTTGTTTCGCCGTGGGTGACCAAGCCACGGCTTCTAAGCACCCCCCGCCACGACAAGGCGGGAACCCGTTCGGGGGGGAGAATTTGAAAATACCTGATACTTATTATAGATACCAAAATATTCGATATAGTGTCTATAAGTCGTTGGTCCTGCGCCTGATCTCTCTCCGGTTGTGTCGGTTTACCGTCCCATCGGATTATGAAAGTGAGGGAATAGAGAGTGCACCTGTGCTTGCGCATACACTTGGGCACTATAATCCTGCCCCGCACCGATGTCTAGCCTCTGTTGAAGCAGGCCGCCGTGGCCGGAATTCGGTCTGGAGGACAGTATTATTATTGTTATTTACGCAATACATCCGATAAATATTTTTATTTTGTACTAAAATTTATTTATTACAAAATTTATTGCTTTAAGTACAAACAAATTTGCATAGAATAAATGCGCACGCAGTCTACCTAATAAGTGGATGTCGAGGCCCATAGACACATCTATCCTTGATGTCTATCGAGACAGCACTAGTTACAGAAGTAGAAAAAGTGTAGATTTAGAAAGCATGGGTGACAGGGTGAGGTATTAGTTGCGCTTCAATGCGAGAACAGAAAATCGTCATGTGCAACGTCCTTACCCAATTATTTGTTATGAGTTATTCTCGTACATCAACTACAATAATGTAATATCCTGCGATGTGACATCCTAAAATTGCTTCATTTGTAAAAAATTAAATTGCTGGTAAATAATTGTTATCCGCATATAATTTAGAATCACTGGCTTTTAATAAAATGCCTTTGCCGTGACGGGATAATGGGCCATATTTTATTATTATTCAGCAACATCAACTATTATTCCGGTTTACCAAAGGTAACAACTTCCGAATGCTACTGGGATAAAATATGGGCTAATTCTTAATCATCTCAATTCGGTATAATCGCTGTGTGGCTTGATTACCGACATAATATTCCAAATGGCTGTTCTGATGAATTGACGGCCCTAAATAGTCAATCCGAAAGGGCGCTTGCTTACGAAGCTACAATGGTGAGACGAGGGGGATTGAGTCGGTATTAAGGTACTTCGCTCTCCCTATCTTCGCTGCCAAAACGTAGTCGGCGTCACAGGCTAAATCAGTCCCCGGGGTCCGGGAAGGCTGATACTTTTCGCGTTGGCGTAACGTTCAATAAAATATCATAACATCCTTTCGTACTAGTTCTCTTTTTTTGTAATTAACTATTTCCTTAATATCTTTTTACATTCAAGATATGCTAAAGGCTAAATATTTAGTTTCTTGTTAAGTAATTAATACATGTAAGCAGATTGACTGTTGTATTGCCTCTTTGCAAATACCCATTTAACCCGGGTCTGCGGAACAACGTTAACGATCTTCCTACGATTGCTTTCTCTTGGGTTATAGAAAATCGATTTGTGCACTCTCTTGACAATACGCAGTGGGTACAACTTTCTTACCAATTAAGCTATCAGTTGGGAATCTGTATGGCAGGAAGAACATTACTTTCAGAAGAGCCAAATAAGAATAAGAGTGACAATCGAGCACACAATCCATTTGATGGTAAATAGATGTTGTGATCCATAGACATCTACATCTACCCTCAATAAAGGATCAAAATTCAGGTGCGCAGTATTTATTTTATATTTTTCTTCCCTCAGTCATAACAATGCTTTAGCTTATAACTGTCGGTTGACTTGTGAGCTTGATATCCACCAATAAAACATAAATCAACACAATGGACTGGGCAAATAAAACAAACTTCTTATGTGTATAGTGATATAATTGTTACGGTAAACACTTTTTCATACAATCTAAGAGAAAACAAAATCAATCCAAGTACGAATGTAAGGAATCCTAAAACCACTGATAACATCAGTAGATTTTTTTAAATGCCATTTTTAAATATATTAACCCTGAATACATTTATTTACTTTTAGTGGCTATAAAGCACAACTTCACTTGAAGTTTCTAAATTCAGTCTTTAATATTGCCACAATGCTACGAATCCAGGGCTCACAATGTGATGTTTAAATGCCAAGTTGCTTGTAGAGCAAGGGTACGTAGTCATCGTACTGCGCCTTGTAGAAGTTGCCGGCGACTGGGTTGCCAAGATCGTATTTTTCCGCAAATTTGGCAATGGAAAAATTACCGCGCCCATCATTGGAACTGTAATCAAAATCATATAATTAAAAATTTCAAATAATTTTCATAGACCATTAATTAATAAAATTAATAAATGAAATTAGTAAGTCTTAAATTTCGATCCTCGTCGACTAAAATGAAATAGTTAATTGCAACATTATGTCCTGATTTATCTTTTGATTGACAGTCAAATGTATAATGCACGTTGGTTTTTTCTTAGTCCGAAAAACCCTTCCTCTAATAAATAAGAATCGGTCTTTATTAATTTGAAGTATCGGTGTGGGGATGAACAATAGTCGACATTCATCCTGTCTTGTGGCTATCATAAAAATCAACTATGAGAAATGATACCCAAAATCACCGCCGCCAAACCGTATACCATGCGTGACTACAAAAAAACATCCTCTCTACTAACGAAGAAACTCAAATTCACCTTTGTCTTCACTAGTTAATTGTTATTATCAGTGTGTTAACTGATATTATAAGCAGTACTCTGATAGGAATTGTGATTGACTTCGTTTTAACGTTAAACATTTATTTTGTATGTAATCTGTAAATTTATTAAAGACCGTACAAGTTTCTTAGTCGTTGCATACAATAAAATTAAAATGCACGTTCTAGTCCTTGTGTAATAACAATCTTGTTTGAAAGAGGTTAGTTGAGTTTAAATCACTAGTGGAAACATCACATAACCATTACCTACTTATTGGGATAATATTCATTATTGAATAAAATAGCAAAGTAAATAAGTGACTAACAAAATTGAAATAATCAGAAAATCAGAATAAAATTATCTCCATAGAAAAAATTATAAAGTTAACTCTTATTTTCATAATTTTTAGTCATTTATTTTTCAACCCGTATGTTATGATCGTAGTACTGTTGCGCGCCTATGTTGACGTCATGTACCCGGCACTAGCACCATCTAGTGTCGGGGATGAGAGCGAGGGGAGCTTTTCAGAAAATGACATCATTAATCTTTCAACCGACAGCGCCATCTAGTATCGAAATTAAGAACTAAGCTTCTAGACGCTGACACTAGAACTTTCGGCGCCTTGTCGATTGGCGCGCGTATTTACTTGAATATTCTGGATGTTTCGGTGATAATGTGTATTTAAAGGCGCTGCAAGATGCGAGCGTGGAAGTATTGAATTTGGCGAGACAAGCGAAGCTTCGGAGCGAAATAAAGTGAATCAGTGTGGTTAATTATTAGTGTTCTAAGTTTTAATTAGTGTAAAGTGATCTAAAGAGTTACTTTTGGTAATTCTATCGGCAATTTTTATTGTCACGAACCTTAAGCTCGTAACAGTACGAATGGGTCGGCTTGACCGGGGAAGGACCACGCTCTCACAGAATACCAGCGTAATGATGCTGTGTTTCGAATGGTGAGTGTAGAGAGCCGGAGACCCTTTTTACCAGAAACGAGGCATTCTAAGCCTCCCTCAGGGGTTACAATGCATCTGCATTTTGAATCTTAATAGAAGATAAATGTAAATGTCTATGGGCCACATCATTCACTTAACATCAGGTGGATTGTATTCTCATTTGCCATCCGTATTCGATAAAAAAAATCTAATATTGTTTTATCAAAACCTCAAGTTACAATTATATACAGGGCTAGCGCATTTAGGCAAGCCATGTACCAGTAACTTTTAAAGCTTGTGACACTGTTTATGTAACTAAATATTTTTTTGTAAATATGCACTCTAACGCACACTCTCATTATTATTAAAAATAATTCTTATTATGTAACTAAAATTATACACAATCAAAAAACATAAAATACTTTCGTTTTTAGTTTAAAACTTCTAAATACAATTTTTTTAAATAAAACTTTGACATATTATGTCAATTTTAGTTCTCAATACGACAAATAGTGGGGCTTCAAATTGGGACAGACAGACTTGTTGAAATAGTTTTTGTTTATTGTATCCCATTTTAGAATAAAATAGTTGTATTAGGTTTACTGTTATTAATTTATATGTATATTATAGAAAATAATTTTTTTAACAATTTTGAAAACATAATAATGAAAAAATATGCAACTAGTAGGATGACCAATTTTATTGATGGACTAATTGCCTCTTTAGTCTAAGTATCAAGCGCGATTGCTAAGCCCGAGTCCGATACCTAGTAGGGCCTAAATCAAATGTTTGTTTTTTCACTTACACTTTTATACCTAATTTTTGGCTTTATTATTATTATTATTAAAAACGAAGACAGATGATAGTAGTGAGGATACGTTTGATGATGGGACAAAAAGAAAATCGATTACGATTATGATAATTCAAAAAAAATATGAAAATACCTAAACATAAAACCAGCAGTGAAACTTAAATACCTAAAATACCTGAAATCAGCTGATAAAGGGTCAAAAAACGCGCGGACGCTGAACTCTTTTTATCGAGCTCGGTACGAAACAACACATTTAGTATTACTGTATTTGCGCTTACCCTACCCTACCCTTTCACACACATGTTGTGGCGTTGCCAAACCGAAATTTATTTACTAAAATTTGCAGGTTAGAGGCAGATTAGAGGCGGTAATCACAATAAAACTTGGAATTAATTTTAATAGTTTTGACTTACTTCTTTTTAAATTCAAAGTATTGGACGGATTAAAAAAGGACAATCAATTAAAATAAAGTAAAAGAATTATTTTTTAGATTAGTTGTGATAGATTAATTAACTATCGATTAGAATTGCAATTATTTAGTGCCATTTCGTTTCTATTTTCTTGTACAAAATCAAAGATAACGATGAAATTTTGTTTATAATTGTGTGAGTACCCAATTAGGTACGTTTATTAATTTCAATATCATTTGCTGTAGTAACGAACTGCTTGTTGCGTGAGGGTACAATTGATTGTTTAATTGTATTAAAAATGATACTGTAACTTCTAAATTCCATATGAAAACTTGTCGTAAGTATAATACTTATAAAATTAAAGTTGGGATTGTCGTAACGGTTTAATGATCTGTGGAATGGTCAAAGTGCTAACCGTAAAGACACACGAAAGTAGCGGCATTGGTTTTGGCGGGATTTATTTATTTTAGTTTTTGAGACAGTTCCGTGTTGACATATGCATACGCAGCATGCATATGACATATGCAGTCCCATCGTTTTGTTTATGAAATTGTTGCAATATTTTGTTTCTTGTTTTGTTTTAATAATGCCTTACGCGTACGTTTATAGTGCTCGTGAATACGGCGACATGTTAATGTGCCTTGGAAAAGCTCGCGGGAATGCTTCGCGTGCATTATGAATTTACAATTTTATAAAATACCGCTAAATTGTTAAGGCGTCAGGATGGAACAAAAGTGTCATACTAGACAGTTCACAAGGTGTTAAAGTGCAACCGAATGCGCCCATACAAAGTGTAAGCATTAGTTCCCGGTGGTTACAACTGCCGGCAAGTTTTCTGCCGTTGGTTATTAGACCAGCAACAACGTGTGCTTGGTTTCATTGAGCACGTCATCTGGACGGACGAGTCGACATTTATCTGCAACGGCCTGTAGAACCGAATAAATACACAACGTATATTCCAAGATTCACCCGCACGCTGTTCGACAAATCAAGTGCCAAACTCAATAGTCGGTTAACGAATGGGCAGGTTTTATTTAAGGATTTAGATTGGTAAGCTGTTTCGTACCTAATTTTTTAAATAACTTTTTACTAATCTTATCTGAATAGGTACATAACTGAACACATTAGAATAATAAACAAACCTACACGATAGATAATTTTAGTAATTTTATCATTAGCGGGGAATCGAACCAGCTATTTAGTTTAATTAACCTGTGAATTCTAATTAAAGTGGCTAGATGGAGACTAACACAGTGGTAAAATAGTAGGTTAAGTAGAAGTTAGGTATTTAGACAAGTGTTGTAAATTATTAGGTATTGGTTTATCTACTCATGTGGCTGCGGGCCGAGCGGATTTGGCGTAGCACATACAATGACCCTTGACAGCTAGATTTTAGGTATTTAAGTTTCACTGCTGGTTTTATGTTTAGGTATTTTCATGATTTTTTATGAAATTATCGTTTCATTTAGCTGTACTAACATGATAGAGCGTGAATAAAGTTAATTAAACGTTGTAAAAAATTAATTCTTTTCATCGAGATCGATTTTCTTTTTGTCCCATCATCAAAGGTATTTTTACTACTATCGTCTGTCTTCGTTTTCGGGAGCGTTTCAACCCAATATACACGACAACTTTGTTATTTTTGCGCTTTGTTGTTCCCTATATTCAGTCATCTTATTTATGTACAACACGACTTTTTCTTGGTGCGGTCACAGTGCACATAAACACAGTATTTCCAAAGTCTCAATGAAGCGATTGCAACTGATACGTGAAACAAAACATACTTGAAGCCTCGCCTGACTTGAGACGGACGAGAATTAATTGCCTATTATTACTTCCTAATTTTAAGTTACAAACTATTATGCAGTCGCAGAATAATTTACGGCAAACAATTCCGATTTGAGTTACACCATCGCACTACTTATGTCAACACGGTCCAACATTTGTGTCAATTATTAAAGGAGTAAAAACACTGCTTTCATCTTAAACCCCATTTACTAGATTCTTTTTCTGATTAAGAGTCCATAAGAGTGATGTAATAGTCTCCCTCCAGTAATCTTGCTTCAATCATTGTTCATTCATTACTGCCCATCAAGTCTACTGAGAATGGTCATGATGAGAGCGTTATTATAAGTTGCAGAGACTTTTTCGGACTGAGCCTGCTTATCACACAAAAACTCGCTGTCACAGTCGTCTTTGAGAAGGCTAGGTAAATATTTTTTTTAAATTAAACTGCTCACTTGTTAGTCAGGCGCTCCTCGTCAAATTTAATCTCATCTGACTGCTGGTAGACAAGAAAGACGTATCGGTGTAGACCGGTGCTCGGTTTTGGTCCAGCGCCCACGTATGCGGAGAGTACGTCTCCTTTAGAAACGTCCGATCCAGGAACATTTCCCACCAGCCAGTGTTGCCACTCACTATTTCGCACATCAGGGCCTGGAAGCAGAGACGACGATACATGAAATGAAGTACATTTGAAATTAAACGGAATTAAATTGATTTTTATTTTGACGTAAGAAAATAAAATCTCGTTCGTCAATTCGTTTTCGTCGTTCGTCGTCTTTTTTGTTTTCAAACCTACTACTTACGTTACTTACTACGTGCTTTATACATTGGTGTTTTGTTACTTCTGTTATATCATTAGTGTAAAGTATAAATAGAATGGGTCCTAATACACATCTTTGTGGGACGCCAGAGCTGCATTCTCCACATTCAGACGAAACTGAACTCATTTAACTATTAATTATTTTATTGATTACAACTTTTTGTTGACGCCCACTTAGATAAGACGTTATCCATGATAATGGGGGTCCTCTGATTCCGAGATTCCAGTTTGTTCAGAAGAGTTCTGTGCGCAACGAAATCGAATGCCTTTGATAAGTTAATAAAAAGTACAGTAGTTAGATTATTTTTATTCAGGTTGGACAATATTTTATTTATTAGGTTAAAGATTGCTAAAGTCGTATATTTTTCTCTCTGGAAGCCAAATTGTTCCTTACTTATAATATTATATTTAGAGCAAAAACTCATAAGTCTTTTTAACATGCACTTTTCAAATAATTTTGATAGAATTGGTATTAATGTTATAGGGCGATAGTTTGCTGGATTTTTATCCCCCTTTTTGTACAGTGGTTTGACTAATGATAGCTTTAACTTATCTGGAAATATACTTTCAGAAAAGGACAAGTTTATGAGATGTGTAAGGATACCGACTACTTCGATGACACACGTTTGTAATATATTAGTGGATATACCGTCATATCCTTCCGCTTTAGTGTTATTTATACTCATTATTATTATTTCCTTTTTTTACTTCTTTCTCTGTCATAGATTGTAAGTACATTGAGTTAATTGGTTTTGTGTCCTTATGCTTAATATTTGCAGTGTTAATTGAAATAGTGTCAGTCATGTTAATGTAATAATCGTTAAAGGCATTAGCTATATCGACAGAATTTGTTACTGTTTCATTTTTAAATTTAATTCAGTAATATCGTCATCTCTTTTTATATTTATTATTTCATTTTTTATCACTGGCCATGTTGCTTTATATTTGTTTTTACTCCTATTTACCTATAAATTTAATATTTGTTGTTCTTTGTGAGTTATTAATGCACCTGTGGCGGCGCTGTCGTCGCGCCGCAAGCGAAACACACCGAAGCCTAAATCACGCTATCAATATTCCGAATCACAAACAGTATATATAGAACATCTCCGAACTATCACATGGAGCGTTGGCCGCTCTCCGGGCAGAAAACCTTGCCCGGTGGGAGATTTCACCTTTTCCTTCCACGGTCACACATCTTTTTAATAATTTAGAGTAGGCCATGTACATTTCTTTATTTACTGGTATCTTATTTTTATATTTAAAGCGTAGATATCTTTTTGTTTTGCAACTAATTTTTAGACCACGGCTTATCCATTTTTGTTTTGTAAAATTAATATTGTTTACTTTAGCTTTTATGATTGGAAAACATAAATTATAAAATAAACATAACATATCGTGGAAACATGTATTTATTTATTTCATTGTTATTACATTATTATTTGTTATTATATCATTATTATATTGTATCTCATTTAATCAAATCCCTGGAAAAAGAATCCAATCCTCTTTAACTATAAGATTCAAGATAATTTACTAACGAGAGTAAATGCACCGCATGATCTTGGTGTTCAGTTGGATAGTAAGTTGTTACTAAGATCACATATTAATATCATAACTCAAAGAGCTTACAAAATGCTAGGTGTTGTTATGCGTAACTCAAAAGATTTAAGTCTACATTAATTATTTTTTATTAGTCTACAACATTATATTAACTATTTGATACTCTGGTGCAGTCTACTCTTGAATATTGTTCTTCATGTTGGAATCCTCGATACAAAGTTTATGTTAAAATTATAATTGAAACAATCAATATATAATCACCACAAGCGAATTGTTGTATGTATGAAATTTTAAATTGACAAATGAATTAGAGTTTTGAGTGATAGATTGACATTATACTAGTTTGACATTATGCATTATGACATGACCATGCCTGTATATTTTTTTTACTGTTCTATACAAATTAATATGAAATGTTATTGTAATTTTGTATTTTTCTAATTTTAATTATTCAATTGCACGTTGACGTAATATTTGCAAGCAGATACACCGGTAAAACATGCATGTACCCACTAAGACCTAAAAATGTACCATGTTTTATGGAAATAAATATTTATTATTATTATAAGTTTCTGCATCACTTAAATCGATATAATTCTTCTGTAGACTCCATTATTGATAATTTAGATAGTAATACACTCGAAAACGCCGTGATATAAGAGATCAAATGTTGTTGTATAAATTGCTACATAATATCATCGACTCTCCCCTACTTTTTTTTACTATGTATTAGATATCTGTGGAAACTTCATTGGTTTTAGGATTACATTTACATGTTTTTATAATGTTTTTTATTGTACTGTATGTTTCCCTTAAAAATCAAATAAATAAATAAAATAAATAAATTACTTAAAACGTATTGTTTTAATCAGAATCGATAAAAACATCCTACTATTTGATTCTATTGGCGTTGATTTCCCTGGTATTTGCGCCAGGGTTATCAAAATTCATGATGAAAACTCAATTTTTTCTAATTTTCTGTGAAAAAACAGAAAGTTTTCGTATTATTTCTTCCACATATATTTATTTTTCATATGGAGTGACGTGCAGTTTCGTGGTCACTTGAAAGAAAGGGCCAAATTGGCCTCTAAAAACCTTGGCGTGCTCAGGAGAGCGGGACAGTTTTTCATGCCGGCACACTGCTTGCAACTTTACAATACGCAGGTTCGGCCGCACATGGAATACTATTTCCATCTATGGGCTGGGGCTCCCCAAAGCCAACTCCTTCCATTTGATCGCATTCAGCGCAGATCCGTTCGAATCTTCGGTGACCGAGCTCTTTCCGATTGGCTTGACTCACTGGCGGTGAAGAGATGTTTTATCTCTTTGCGTATTTTATCGCATTGACCACGAAGAGCGCTCTGAGGAATTGTTCGGATCAATTCGGACGGAATAAGTGTCATTTTCTGCACCGGGCACAAAATTTTGCGTTACTAAGTCGTTTTTTCCTTGTTCAAGGCATTTTATCCTCTCTTGTTGTTATAAGCGCACTGGACCTTACAAGTTCAACCCTTGCTTTAGAGCTAATAAGGCTGACCGAATTCTCGCCATCATTCTGGACGTGAAAATATACAACGCCCATGTTGGCTTTCTCGCTAGCGTCTGTAAAACCAACGACAGTGACGACGCCATCCTTACTGATAATTATTTGAAGCGTAGCCAGGAACGAACAACGTTATCAGGCGGTGTGTCATCCCTATCACATTCACACAGTCAAAGTTGTTTGATCAAAAACATAGCATACAATACCACAGGTGCTACAAATCCTATGATATCCCATAATCTAGCAACGTGCAGGTTACAGCTGGCGTTTTTATCTTAAGACTAAACACATCTGACTCAGGCGACCAACACGAACCGAGCACGTTGTGGGAATCAGAATCGTCAAATTCCTTTATAGCCGAAAGACGCTGTAATGGTGAGATTGTATTCAAAACAGTACGCGAATTACTCGTCCACGTGATCAGATCGAATTTACCTGCTTTCATGAGTTTTATAACTTCGGCGGTGGTTGAGATGGCTTCCTCTTCGTTATCAACTGAGTATATGAAATCGTCCATAAACAGACCACTCTCAATTGCCTCCCTAGCTTGATGGTAAGAGGAACGTTTATCTGCAGCGTGCTGCTTCACAATGCGCAGCGCATGCAACGGACTTTACTTTAAACCAAAGCAAACGCGGTTAAATTCAAACACATTTAGAGGCTCCTTTGGGTAAAAGTGATATAAAATGCGCTGAAATCGACGATCGCATTCACGAACCCTAATGCAAAGAAACATTTGGTGGATATCAGCGGATAGCCTAATACGAAATAAACGAAAATTTACTATTATATTAAATAGGTTGCCCTGTAAATGTTCTCCACTATAAAGAATGTCGTTGGGAGAGGCGGGTGCTAATGTTAGTGCTAGCATCAAGTACCACACGTAACTTGTCTTCCCTAATAACACCATGATGCAGTATAAAATATGATGGCGTCTCTTTAAAGTTATCCAATTTTGGAGGCGATGGCAATATATAGCCCAATTTTATGTATTCGTTAATAACATTGTCAGAAGCTTCCTTTAATTTGGGCAAAACGAGCATCTTTTTTTTTTTTTTAACATGGGGAAATGCCTACGCATACCCGCCTCGCGGGGGCAAGGACGGGTTATGTCGGACTCGCACCGACTAAAACCCCATGGTGTTCCACCTTCGTCGCATATTGGCAGGGCTACGGGAACGCTTTCGCACACATCCGCGGCCCCACCAGCGACTGCCGCCCCATGGCAGCACCTCATCGGGAGAGGAATATTCCTCCCCGTTCTCCTTTCCAAGTAAGGCGCACCAGAACACATGGCACGCCTTCCTCCACGGCCTCCAATTACATCTGTGCAACAGACGCCCCCGCGTCCGATGCGCGAAGGCCATGGGGCCAGGAAAAACGAGCACTTAGAAGTACTAGCCTTCCCGACCCCAGCGGCGGATCTGGTCTATGGCTCCGCCGCCAACCAAGATTCGGCTACGGAGGATAGGGAGAGCGGCGCCTCGCAATACCGATAATGCTCTCCCCCCGCAGCCCCACCACCACCGCATCAACGGTGCGGCCCCGTTTGAGTCGCGGAGGATAGGGCGAGTGGCGCATCGCCATACCAACACTCCTCTTCCTCCGCGACTCCACCTCGGCTGCAGCGGTAGGTGGGGAGGACACACCTCTCACCGCAGTCCACCAACACACATCCGAAGTGGGCTTCCCAAGCCCACTCGGAGTGGCCACCTCGGGCCGGCCCTC